TGAACTCGAAACAAACAAAAGGATCATGAGTTTTTTACCCTTGTTACGGGCATCAAACCGAAGACAAACGAGCAGAGAGGACAGTGAGCTTCTTCCAACACCACACACAAACTTCAAGAGCTCCGACGAGCAGCAAGAATGTCTCAAAAAGGGGAATGACCGGCACCTGAATACACTCTATAAAATTTGATTTCCTAAGTTTGATATTTTCTAAAATCCTAGGTATCTTTTGCCTTCTTCTTGACTCTTTTTTTTTCAATATTTCTCCCCCTTTAAAAATGAGGAGGGATGGAGTATATCTAGACAATTTTTAGGGTTCCCCTTTTCGAATTTCAAACTCCAAACTTCTTTCACCAATTAAGGAAGACAAACCTTTTATGAAAATTTCGTCCAATTCCGAAAGAGGAAAAGGAGAATCGACGTCTCAGATTGCTCCAACGTCCTTGAGCCATTGCGTGGTTCAATCCCGTAGCCCCGAGGACAATCTGACGCGGCTGTCACAGAGAACAGGCAACTGGAATCGCGGAAAAGACTATAGGAAATCGTACTAGACTGAGGAAGGAGACGCGTGCTGCTGCTGTAACGTTGAACTGGAATTGTCATCGTTAGCTGCTGCTGGAGTTTAATTAGGATTGGGAATTTGGGCCGGGTATGGGGTTGAAAAGTGAGTGGGCTGGTTGGGATGTTATTGTATTGTATTGTTGTTAGAAGTTTTGGATTGGAATGGTTTTGTGGACTGGGTCGGTTGATAGGAAATTGGAAAAGGGAAATTGATAGGCTACTGGAAATTGGAAAGCAAAGGAAAATGGGAGAATGGGCTGGGAAAAGCTAAACTTGAAAATACGATAATGATCATGTGAATTTTAAATCGCAGCCATTTGGAGTTCACAATCTAGCAAAATTGAATTCTTTTAGTTAATTCGACTAGTAATTAAATAAAACGAATTAATATAATTAACTAACGAGCTTCTTAATCTTAACAAAATAAAATAATTAACTTATTTATAAATTAATTAGCTCAAAATATAGACCATTATATAACTGAACTAATTAACCAAATATTTAGGTAAGACTAAAATCTTTTCGAGATAATTTTTGAATATTCGTAAAATGTACTAATTATATACAATATTATAATATTATTATTTGAAAATCACAAAAGTGACAAACTATTTAGAGTAACTTTCAAACTATATATATTTTATTATATTTTGAAATTTTACAAAATTAATTATCTTAAATCGTTTGAAATTGAGGAAGCTCGGTGATTAATTTATATTGTGGAGGTCTAAAATTGGGTGTCAATAACACTAATATATGAGAAATTTAACATTTTTGCATAAGCGTTTAACAGGAGCCTGGATACTATAACATGAGAGCACAATTAACAATGGACAAAAAATAGTTGATTCATCCATTAACCAACGTATTAATTATCCAAATTTGTAGATACGCATACCAATAAAATCAGCTATTGTTTTCGACTTTTTTCAATCTATTACGATTTGGGTGAGAATTGAAAGAAGAAAATTTGAATTGTTTTGAAGCTAGACGAATTTGGAATAGAATTGAGAGAAGAAAATTTAAATTTTGAATTGAATCTGAACGGATTTGGAAGAGAATTGAGAGAAGAAAATTTGAATTTTGATTTGATTGAATCTTTTAAGATTTGGGAGAGATTGAAATCAACTAGATTAGCGTGATTTGGGGAACTCACATCAATTTTATATTCTATTTCCTTTAAAAGTGTAACTGATTTTGTTTTAATGTATCAGATTTAATGTATCCGACTTCTTTGCTATGTATCCGGATAACACTAATTTTGAGGGATTTTTGTAAATTGAAAAAGAATAGAGATAAAATGTAATTTAAGTCCTTACACTATGAGATTTATGTAAGTTTACTTTTTAGAGTTACAGTAAATTGGCAACATATAGCCCAATATTAATTAGCAATTAATAAACAAATAAAAAATTGGCACATATTAGCCTAAATGTAATATATCAACATTTAAAAAAAGAAGAAGATATTTAATATCATCTCTCTTCTGACTTCCAAGAATTACTCCTTAAAACTAGCAAAAGATTATTTAGAATTATCTTTCTTCTTTCAAAATTATTACGTATTTTTTAAAATAATAAAAGAAAATTAATAAATAGCCCACTTTAAATAAATCAATTTTCACCAATAACGCTACTTTGCTGTTGATTTAACATTCGAACGATACTTTTGATAATTAAGATACATGACACATAGTATTGAAATTTGCGTTGTATCTCATACATAATCTTCTGAAATTTGTGTACTATGCCATATATAACTTCTGAAATTCATATTATTGTGTCATTGATATAATTATTTTGTTGTATTTGTTTGCTCAATTCAATTTTATTATATTTGTTCATTTAGGGTGTGTTTGGTATGAAGGAAAATATTTTTCAATTTTCTCATGTTTGGTTGGGTTAAATGTTTTGGAAAATGTTTTCCAAATCAACTCATTTTCCTCAAATTTAAGGAAAATGACTCCCTTCAAAACTTAAGGAAAACATTTTCCAAAACTCTTTTCCAACTTCAAACTACAATTACTTTTTTGTTGAAAAAATCAATTTATTTTGTCCCTACCCTCAAACCAGCCCCCAACCAACCCCCCAAAAAAATAAATAAATTTAAAGCTTGTTTTTAAATTCAATTTTTTTACCCACCCTCACCCCTACCCCTACCCTACCCCATCCCCTCCCAAAAAAATATTAAAATTATTTTTAAAAGATATTTCTAATTTCAATTTTTTATTTTTACCCCCACCAACTACCCTTGCCCCCCCCTCCCCCCTTATCAATTTTTTATTGTTTTTAAAAAATATTTTCAACTTCAAAATTTTATTTTTCACCCCTACACTCGATCCCCCCCAACCCACCCACCCCCTACTCACCACCCCTACCCAAAAAAAATAATTTAAGTTTGTTTTTAAAAAATATTTTCAATTTCAAAATTTCATTTTTTCACCCTACCTTGAACCCCCCTCACACACCTCCTACCCAAACCCCCCACCCACCCCACCCCTACCAGCCCCCCTCCCCAAAAAAAATAATTTAAGTTTGTTTTTAAAAAATATTTTCAACTTCAAAATTTCATTTTTTCACCCTACCCTTGACCCCCCCTCCCCCCCCCCCCCCCCAAAAAAAATTAAGTTTGCTTTTAAAAATATTTTCAATTTCAAAATTTCATTTTTTCACCCCTACCCTCGACCCCCCACCCACCCACCCCTACCAACCCCACCCCCCACCACCACCCCAAAAAATAATTTTAAGTTTGTTTTCAAAAATATTTTCAATTTCAAAATTTCATTTTTTTCACCCCCACCCCACCCACCCCCTACCAACACCCCCCACCACCCCACCCAACCCCTACCAGCACCACCCCGCCCCCCCAAAAAAAATAATTTAAGTTTGTTTTTAAAAAATATTTTCAACTTCAAAATTTCAATTTTTCACCCCTACCCTCAACCCACCCCCCACCCCCACCCCTTAAAAAATTTAAGTTTATTTTTAAAAAATATTTTCAACTTCAAAATTTTAATTTTTCACCCCTACCCTCAACCCCCCCCCCCACCCCACCCCCCAAAAAAATTAAGTTTGTTTTTAAAAAATATTTTCAATTTCAAAAATTATTTTCTACCCTAGTAAAAATAAAAGATATTTCTCAAAACAAAAAATTCATTTTCCGGAAAATATTTTCTACTCACCAACCAAACATGAGAAAATAAGTTAAAAATCAACTTGTTTTCCAGGAACACATTTTCTAGGAAAACATTTTCCTTCATACCAAACACACCCTTAGTTTAAAATATTGTATCTATTCACTTCAAGTTGTATCAACACTTTCTCCCATTCTTTTTTCAGATACAATGATTTTAGGGCAAGTCCGTCTATATTAGATACAACCTTCATTTGTAGGGATTAATAAAGTACTCAATTTTGTTGGGTACACTTTTCAATTTCACTGAAATATAGTAAAACAACACAATTTTTTTTTCCAAATACAACATTTGTTTGGAGAAATTAACAAAATACTCGATTTTGTTGGATACATTTTATCATTTTTGTTGGATACACTGATACAACCCAAAAAATTCATAAACAACTTCAAAAGTCACTTGAATTTCTATAAAGAATGTGTTCTTTTTTTTTAAAAAAAGAAGATAATAGCACAAATAACATATGCCTTTAAGACACGGATTATGAAAGAATTTAATGTTTGCATTCCTTTGTTAAATTCAATTAATACGTGATTTATTAGAGTAGCTTACAAGATAAAACTTTTGCTCCTATACAATAACTCGCAAGCTACAAAGGAGAGGTAACCCGCATTAGATAAGTCCGATGCGACGAGCTTGACTCAGAAGGTCAACCTCTTGCTTTCGTTGGCAAAGAATTTCAAACTTGAGGCCTCTAACACAAAAGTCTCAAGAATAAATCACTAGACCACTCCAAAAGGTATTCCCGATCCTTTATTTTGTAGCAATCCTTTCTTAAATTACAATACTATCATTAATCCCTCATACTTTTTGTGTGACATTCATACTAATAATTCATTTAATTATACGAATTAATATAATACTGTACTTCTTGTTCCACCCTACTTAGCACATTACTAATAAATATTTCTTTTTTTACCAAAAAAAGTATAAAATTCATTTATCTTGATTCATGTGATATATTTTACTTTTTGAGATTCAAATTATATAAAACTTTGATTAGTATTATTTTAAACATTTGTCGTAAGACAAGTCACAAATTTTAATACTTTTCTTATACGGAAAAGTTTCTGAATATCTAATTTTTTAAAATTGATCTAATACAATTCAACTCCGAATAAAAGTTAACAATAAGTTATTTTTTCCAAATATGAATAAATACGTGTCAGATAACTATTAGAGGTAGTATCATACAACATACACCTGATATACAAAACAATAAAGCCCTAAGCTTCTCCCCCAAAATTTGGTTTCGCAAATCAAAATCCTCAAAGATTCCTACTTAATTCCTTTATCCCTCTCTGTTTTTTACCAATTTTGTTTCATTTTTGGGTTGTGAATTGTTGTAGTAAGTGTAGAGAAGAAGAAAAGATGGGGGATGCTTATTGGAATCGTCAACCGCAGCTTCCTCAATCTGCTGGATTGCTCAAACGACCTCGCACTGAATATGGTATGACCATCTTTTATTTTTTGTTTAAACACTTTTTGTAGCTGATAATTGATTATGAGGCGAAATGATCTTTTTTCATGTTGCTTTGAAAATTGGCTTGTAATTATGGCTTAATTTGTGAGAAATTGTGGAACGCTGGAGCAATTTTTGTTTGGTTCAGTCATGGAGAACTACATTTTAGCCATTTGGAATAGTTCTAGCTGTAGATTGATGAGTGATGAGATTTTGAAGAAAGAGATACTCGTTGTAAGTTAGATGGAAATGTTTTGTAGCCTTGTAGGACGTATTAGGTTTTTATGAACTTTGGAGATAGTAGAGAAGCTAAGTTCAATTGAAACGAAAATAATGAATACATTTTTTTCCACATGTAAGTGAGTGGTGGATTCAGAATTTTCATTAAGAAGGTTTGAAATATGTAAATGTAGTGCCTAAAATTTGAACTTGAAATTTCAAGGTGAATTTTGAACCCCCTAAACCACCGAGAAAACCTCTACTCTAATGTTTAGGGTGAGCACCCTCCCACCTCCCTAGATCCGCCCCTGATGTAATTTTTGAATAGTGATGGCAATAGGGTGGGTGAAGCCTTGCCCTTCCCCGTTTCATAATTTTTTTGTATTTTAACCTGCTCTACCCTGCCCTATTTAGCCCCTCATTCAGTTTTTTTTTACTTTAATGTTTGCAACTGTGCACTTTTTTTTTCCTTCCTACAACCCAAATCATCTTAATTATTATTATCCAATGGTTTGGGGGTATTGCAAATGCAGTATGTTCTGAGATTTCATTTGTTCTTCCTACTTGATTTGAATTTGGTACATTCTTTACTTCTTTATCAAACGTTTAAATTCAAAGTAATTAATTAGTGTCCCAACTGGATGTTGAGACTACTGTTACTTGTAAGTTGTTTGAAATATTGCGAATCCACAACAAAATCTAAAAGAAACCCGTCCCACCCCCACCCCACAATAAAATTTCAAAATCTACAACCTGCCCCGCCCCTCCCTGCCCCACAAAAATCCAAATCCGTCCTGCCCCGCATAGCTCCAAACCTGCCCGCCCCGCAGCCGCCCCATTGCCATCCCTATTTCTGAATCCCCATGGGAGGTTTAGGCTGAAAAGTACACCCTTGTATTACTACAGTAAACAAAAAACATCCTTTAACTAATTCAAAAGTTGCAACAATCATACTTCTGTTTAGTTTTTGTCAAAAACTAACATCCAAATAAGTGACGGTCTCAGCCCCGATGACCCCCCCACCCCAAATATTTCTATTTCTATCCTATCTTATTGTCTTTAACCTTCAGCAGAACTTCTCTGTCATTTCGAAAAGCCTAGAGCTTTTGGGCAGAAAAACCATATGCTATAGCTCATAATCTCTCTTACCAATTGAAGAGCTATAGTTTTGACACGATTTGTCTTCTACCGTATATGTAGTAGTGCTTCACAAATCAAAGGCAAAAGCCAAATTCATAATCTTTCTCTATCCAACAGTGTTTTAATTGTGTAATATAATTGACGAATGCGATTAATTAATTTCTATTCTCTTCATCTTCTTCATCTTGAAAGAGGTAAGTATCTTTTTTAAGGAAACTACAGATAACCATACAATAACAAAGATCTGCTAAAATATTGTTAAAATGTCCTTACCTGTTAGATAAAATGATCCAAAGAGATTGAAAGTATTGGTACTGCACAAAATAATATAAAATTCACTAATTGTTTCCATTATAAATCATCATCACTTGTGTTGATTAAAATTTCTGGTAGCTTTTAAAGAAAAATGGATGAGAAAGAAAGAATAAATAAGCTATGTGCAGTATTTTTTTTTTTTAAGCAGGAAACTGAAGAAATAGTTCTACACAATTGTGCATAACTAAGTATTTATCTGATGAATTTCCTTCCGTTGTTGAAAAAAGAGAATATGAATGCTTTCACATGTAACTGAAGAAGGTGAATGATGATTGAGCGAGAGGGAAACAGATTGAGAAATTAAAGGAGAAAGAGATGTCATTTTTGGATATATCCTTAGTTTTTGACAGAAACTAAACAAAAGGATGATTGTTGCAACCTTTGAATTAGTTAAGCGATGTTTTTTGTTTACTATAGTAATACAAGGATGTACTTTAGGTTTGAGTCATAGTTTAAGGATGTTTTTAGCCTAAAACTCATCCCCATGGTATAAGGGGTTTCAAAATTGCATTTTTGTCACAAGTTTGAAAACTAGGTGTTGCATTCTTGCATTGTTGAATCCCTTTGTTAGGATTCCTAGCTCCGGCGCTGATGGAGATGGACGGATCGAAAACATCGAAGAGTCTAGTGGTGATGCCTTCTGGTAATAAATCTCCCTTTATGTAGTTTCTCTATGCATGTATTGAAATGCAAAAACATAGGGAGACGGGAGGTTTGTAGAGCAATTATCTTGGACATGGTAAGATTTGGCTCTTAAAAAGTGAGGTTAACCCTAATTTTTTGCCGAGGGGGCTCGGGTTAACACCCTCCCCTCCCCCCCCTCTCCAGATCTGCCGCTGATATAAGTTTTTGTATCCCCATGGCGTTAGGTTAGGGAATATTTAGATTTAGTAGTAAAGGGGTTTCAAAATTGCATTTTGTCACAAGTTTGAATAATAGGCGTTGCATTCTTTCATTTTTTGAATCCCTTTATTAGGATGCCTGGTTGAAAACATTGAAGAGTCTAGTGGTTTTCTTATGATGTTTCTGGTAATAAATCTCCTTTTATGTAGCTTCTCTGAGCATGTTTGAAACGCAAAAACATCAGGAGACTGGAGGTTTGTAGAGTATTATCTTGGAAATGGTAAAGTTTGGCTCTTAAAAAGTTGGGTTAATCAATTACTTAAGCTTTACAGCCAAATTAATCATGGTTTTATTGGTGGAGGTTTCTCAAGGAAACACAAAATTCGATTTGAGGCTGGAGTTAGTTTTAGAATTAGTAAGGACATGTCTTGAGTTTTGACCATCTATGATTCTATTCTAGGACTTTCATGTGTAGTTTGTGCATACAAATTTACAGTTATAGTTACATATGCTTAGGTAGCACGTGTTGTATAGCTACACTTTTTTTTCATCCAAAAGTAAGACTCCATTGCTTCTTTGAGATTCTGCCGCCCCATTTATAGACTTCTCACGATTCACTGAAATCAAGGACAAAAAACAGAGAAAGTAGAAGATAGGAAGATGGAAAACCGGATTGTTCTTGTGCCAAATGAAGAGGATTTTAGCTCCAAATTCAAAATTTGACCTCATGTGTTTCTTTTTCTTATCACTTGGTGGCGTGTTTCGATTGGTTTCAACCTTAACAAGCCCCTTTGACCTAATCACAAGCAACCCAATGAATTCTAATAAGTTGCTTTCTCCCTCTCCCAGTTCTTTGTACGATTATAGTGATGTTGGATCTTGTTGAGTAATGTTCTATCTAAAACAGAGTTCTACATCTTAGTTTTACTTCCTCTTCTCAATTTCTCATTACTGCAGAAGCCCCTTTCGAGAAAATGATTGGCCAATTTCATCTCATTCCTCTTTACCAGCTTATTGTGGAACTATTTGTGGTGTCAGAGTCAATGCTGGAACTGTATATGCATCCTCCCTGTATTAGTTCTACAATGGTTGCTAACTTATTATGGCACCAAGTCGCCAGTTCTACCTTCAGCTTGATGCTGATTTATGAAATTCGCCCTGTATTTTCATGTCACTGATGATTTTAGCTACGAGAGTTTCCATCAGCAATTGCCTTTTATATTCTGTACTTGTTCCCAGTGCCCTATATTCTTGCTTCAGTCTTACTGTGATTGCTGTGTATGCTGTGCTTTTATGTGCAAGTAGGTCATTTTGATCTTACCTATTGGCAAATGAAACTTTATCCTGTTTGAAGACAAAGTATATTCCATGCGAGTAACATTCTACACTCACTTTATTATCTGTTTCGAAAAGCATATGTGGTTTGACCATATTTCTTTGCAGTACCAGATTATCCACAATCTGGGATGCCATCAGCTCATGAAGTGCATCATTACTTAGGAAGGAATGATGATCGTGAAGGACCTCGAGTAGTGGACACACAATCAATCGGATCAGCATATGATCGTGGTGTACCTCAAGTAGTGGACACAGAGTCAATCGGATCAGCATATGATCGTTATCTCCAAAGTTCGGTAATCATTGAAGCTGACAGTGCTCCTACATTCCTCAGGCATGCTTGGATTTCGTGCTAATTTGGATTTTGTTTTTATTATTCTTCCTCCTTCTCCTGTAGCAACTTTCTTCTCTTCCAGTCGGAGAAGCTAATAACAACTACAAGGGGGTTGGATTAGTTAGAGCAGGTGGTGGTGGTGGTATACCTGCCCTTCCTGTTCGTGATCCGCTTCCATCAGCTCGTGGGCCAGAGCTAGCACCAAATGGAAGAGCTATGGTATTTAGTGGCCAACTGCCAGTCGAACCTATGCCGAGGCCTCGTGAAACACTATCTCTTCCTCCTGATGCTTCTAACACCCTCTACATAGAGGGACTTCCGTCAGACAGCTCCAGGAGAGAAGTAGCCCGTATCCTTTGAGATGTAATTTACTGAATCATTATTGGACAGTTCTTCTTAATTTCTGAATATATCTGTTACTTGTTCCCTAACTGCACTTAAAAAGACATTTTTCGTCCCTTTGTGGGCTACAAAGAAGTCAGACTTGTTAGAAAGGAATCAAAACATGTAAGTTGATGTTTATGCCTTTTCTATTAGTGTAGTATTTATCTACCAGGTGGTGTTTTGATAAAAACTTCATTTTGCAGCGTGGTGGAGATCCTATTATCCTTTGCTTTGTGGATTTCGTAGATCCAGCGTGTGCAGCTACTGCTTTAAGTGCATTGCAAGGTGAGTATTTTCTAAATTATAATAATCCACTGTCCAACTTCCGTTATCGACTTGTTATCTCAGCTGCAGTGATCTGATCTATGATGTTCACTCAGTGTATGTGGATGTTGAGTGAGTGTTTTCTAAGTGCCATTCTCTCACTTTGCTTTTTCAATCTACAGATCTTGGCAGTTCATTTTGTTTCAGATACATGAGTGCTCTAGTTGTGATTCTTCATTCCTTTTACATCGTTAAATTGTGGGGTAATCTGTGGAGTAAAATCCACTTGCTTTATATGCTATCTTCCCTTAGATGTGTATATCCATTGATGACCTCTCCTCTTTGTGCACGTGCAAAGCCCTATGGGCAATGCACCTCAGGGAAGAAGCACTGCCTTCTTTGACTTTAGTCTGTAGTCCTTTTCTTTTGATCTGTCCATTTCCTTCACCCATTTCTTGTGTAAAATACCGTACCTATATTTCAAATAAAATATATCCAAATCTATAAAGAAATTTTACTGTAGTTCCACTTATTACTCCTAAAGATCCAGATTTACTTGTAGGACTGCTGTTAGGTCTGCCATTCAAGAACGATGTCGCTTATATTTTACATAATTAGTGTGATGATACTTGCTGTCCAATCATTTAATTAGAGGATGGGGTTAATCTCTAGCTGCTGCTGTGATAATTGACATGTTCTTGCTTGCTTCATTCAGTTTAAATATCTAATGTTCCACATTATCTTGTGATACTTGCATTCTGGGTCCTTTATTTGTATGACATACTGCGGTGGCAAATTCTCATTCTTCTATTTTGGTTAACTATTTTTTCACATGATTATATGACACTACTTGCATTCTAGATTCATAGGACATGCATACCTTCTATCTACTGCTGTGGCATGGTGTCCTCTTTCCTTTGGTTTCTTGTTATTTGCTCTTGTACTCTGTTACCCACCATTATGAAAATCTTCTCATATTTCTTGTTATGATTGATCTGTTTTTTCATGCTTCTCTGGACTTGCAGATGCATATTTTCGTTCTGTCTATGAGGCCAACTCACGTGTGCAAAATAACTAAAAAATACAACTTTTTGGATTTTACTACCATCATCTATGAGGTTTCTTGTGGAATAATCTTACCAGTGGTCTCTGCTGTTGAATTTTGCCAGGTTACAAAATGGATGAACATGACCATGATTCTGCTTACTTGAGGTTGCAGTTCTCAAAGTTTCCAGGTCCGAGGTCTGGTGGCTCGGGAAGTCGTGGGAAGCGATAAATAACATCCACCAGCTTCTTATTTACATATTGCTCTGTCTGAATTTACTTATGTAGTATGTAGTGTTTCTGGAATGTGCAATTCACAATTGGCTCAACAGTTGGCGCTAGCCATGGCTACAGTAACATGCTGGCTGTTGGTTTTTGAAGCGGGAATTTTCCGCTTCAACAGACCTTTAAAGCCAGTGAAACTTTGTTTCTGAGATGGTACAACTTGATAGGCAGATGCAGGTTGTCGTACTAGACTTCTAGTTGTCTGAAGAAATGTTTCTAATTTTATTTTAGACAGTGGAATTTTTGTAAGTAATATGGAACTAAGTGTGGGAAATGGGATAGTTTGGGTTGATTCAAGTGAGTTGAATCAATAGATTGGTTATTTCCGTCTTCTGCACAAGTTGAAGCTAAAATGGGTGGGAGTCTAACGAGCCTGTTTGGATGGCTTGTTTCAAGTGGTTTTACGTCAAAATAGGTTTTAAGCATTTTTGGAGTGTTTGTATAAATTAAAAATGTGCTTATGACCACTTGTTATTAAGCCCAAAAGACAATAATATGCAAAAAGTTATATGTTAGAGAGCTTAACTTATAATATTTGGCTTATAAGTCAGAAGCAATATGTCCATTCAAATAGGCTCTTATGATTGTTGTCTTTTTGTACTTTTTAAAAAACATTTAGTCGAGGGTTTATAACCTCACTTTTTGGGACTACATCGGATATGCTGTTATTTTCATACGTTAATTTAGATTATATATTTTGCCTAAATCAGTTCAATATTAATATGCATAAAAATGTATTTGAGTTAATGAATGTACAAATGTTAAGCTGCCCAACTTTTGACAAGTTTGGTGGCTTGTAGGTTTTTTTTTAATCTTTATTTGGGTTCAAATAGAAAAATGTTGTAATCAAGAATGAAATAATTTTCAAAGAACAAAATCACGGGATAAATGGCGTAGAGATCTGAAAGGGTGATTTGTGGCAGACAAGGTCAAATTAGGAAAATGAATTAGATGTGAATGATGTTAGGCTTCTTTCCTTTTTTTTGTTTTGTTTTGTTTTGTTATGTTTGATTGAGCTTTTGTTGGCTAATTTTTTTTAAAATAAAATGGCTACCAGGCCATCAAAAAGTTGCTTTAAAAAAGGGAATTTTTTTTAAATGTCAATATTTTGACATTTAATAGATTTTCTTAGCCATACTTTTAATATTTATCTAAAATGTCAATATTTTAGTTTGTTATGTATTTGATTTATGTATTTTTTTATTTGTTTGATTTTCAAGATTACAATTATTTAAAAGGAGAAAATTAAGGGAGATAATATTTTTAAAAAAAGGAACATATCACTTAAAATTCTCATCAGTTAGAATTTTTTTTAAAAAAAATCCTTTTTCATTCGATTGGATCAACTTTCCTTTTTATTATGTTTTCATTATAATTGTATACCAATAATTTTACATGTTATGTGCTCACTTTACCATTCAAATTAAAACTATTTTTTTTTACTTTCATAGATAAAACTACAAATTATATTTCAGTGATCAAAATTGTATTACATGATGCCAAATATATTTTTCTTTTATTTGTATTACAAAAATATTACTGATTGTATCTCAATCTAATCTAATAATTACATATGAATATGGTTTATGAAAGGATACAAGATTCTGGAAAAAGAAATAGCATACATGGTGGAAATAATACAATTTGTTGAGGAAGGATATAATATTCTAAAAAAATAAATACAAATTGACTATGAAAGAAATAGGGATACAAGATTCTAGAAAACAAATAGCATACATAGTGAAAATAATATAATTTGTTGAGGAATGATACAATATTCTAAGAAAAAATACAAATTGACTGTTAAAGAATAGGATACATCTATGCTTAAGAAATACAAATTCATTTGACATACTTATTTGAATGACTACAAACTAAAAAAGAAATACAATGTTCTTAATAAAAATACAAATGATGAGTAAAACAAAAATTAATATGAATACTATTCTGGTATGAATACAATTTTGCAACCTTCTTCTCTGACTCTCTCTTTCTTCTTCGTCTGCTATGTTCCTTTTTTCTGATTTTTTTTCACCAAACCCAAATCTAAATTTATATTCACTTGTGCATTAGTAACCCCATAAGCAAAATTTGAAATTATTAACTATGAATATATGAAAAAAAATCAAACAATATATTATGTATAAATGCTAATTTAGATTACTACAAATTACAATCTACTAAATCTCAAATATGAAAATAAAATCACAAAAAAATCGAACAGTAGTGTTTAAAATACTAAAAATCCGAAATGCATAAGTATTTGATGAGTATGTTAACAAACTCACATAAAAATCGAAAAAATGACGAAAAATCCGTAATACATACAATCCAAAATTCAACATTATTTGTGATTTTGAAAACAAAATCTCATGAAATCTCGCAAAATAAATGATGACTTCAAAAATACCTTTATCAATTGATTTCTTGAATTAATTGATAGATATGAACAAATTGGTATGAACTTGAATAATTAGTTCTTATTCAACAATGAGGGAGAGAATAATGGTGAAAATTTGATGAAATAGAAAAAAAAATAAGAAAACGTGAATGATGAGACAATGGTGAAAACTGAAAAGTTGGTGAAAGAGAAAAAAAAATAGAAAACGTGAAAGATGGAAAATAAATTTAATGATATTAAAGCTAAGGAAGAAGTGTAAATGGATAGTGAATGTATTTCATGTTGGACAGTTTTGAGAAATAAACGGAAAGACAAATAATAGTATATGATACAAATTATTTTTTAAAATATTGACATTTTGACATTTTAAATAATTATTTTAATGTGTAGATATTTTTACTAATTAAGTTAGGGATTGTGACTAGTTTGCTAATTTTCCCATAATTTTTTTTTCCAAAGAATATAGGAAGGATTATCTTTTATTTCTTCCATTTAGCTCCATTGTTTTTGTCATGAATTATCTTCAAATTTTATTAATAATATATGGTTTAACCACACAAATAAAATAAAATAACTTTTTTTATTATATACAATCCAGATCATGGGTTCAAAAATTGGTCTAACTAGCTTCACAAATTAAAATCTTAGGTTAGTTGATATTCTAGTAGTTTCGAATGTAACATTTTTTTGGATCTAGCACATATATAAATAGAGTAGACGAGCAAACGAGGATAAATTAGTCTTTTAAATTCTACACCAAATAATTTTGTGGAAAAAACATAATTTTTCACTATATTATATATTTAGCGGAAATAATGAATATAGGTATGTATAACCAACATCTATACTTATTGGGATATAAATTAAACTTGAGAATAGTCTTGTCATTTTATTATTTTCCACATACCTGAGTCTATTTGAGTGGAATTCTCTATATCATCCCTATTTTATCCCTTCCGCACATAACATACTTCTTTTCTATCGATTGTTTTATTGGAAGAGCTTTCTAAGATCCACATAAATAAAATAATTATTTTATTATACTACTTTTTTAATATATTAATTTCACAAATTTGATATATTGAAAAATAATTATAGTTATAATAAGGATAAATTAAATATCAAATTATTTTTTGATTTTTCAATCAAACAAATAAAAAAGATTAATTTAGTTTAATGACCAAGTGAACAAACCAAGTATCATTTTTATTTTATTAGAATCATTCTTTCCCCTCTATTTAAACTCCGTTAAAAGAATTTTGGAAGACACCCGTTAAGACTCAATTAAAGCATTAATATTACAACTTAATAATGTATTATAATAATTAAGAAAAAAATGCCATAAAAAAACTTTGCCTACTTTTGTTTTAAAGACACTATTCCAAATATTTTTTGGTTAAATATTAAAATGATTTTTTAAAAAAATACTTAAATGGAAAAAATAAATGTATAATTAATTATTTTTTCTTACTATTTTATTATTATTAATAAAGTATTATGAGTAAGTGTAACTCAAAATAAATTATAAATATAAAATTAATGTTTTTTGGCCCGTGCACAACATGGGCTATCCGTAACCAATAAAATTATAAAAGGAAAATTATATAACTATGCTAACATTTAGTAGTTAATTATGTTTCATAACTATAGTTTAAATTGATTATGGAAAAAGATTATTGTTTGAGAAAATAGCTATGAGCCGAGTTCTTTTAATAAATCAACACACTCTCTTATCACACCCACTTATTTTGCTCCTAAAATCTCTCAGTTTCCCCTAAATCACTCAATCAAATCAAAATTCAAAATTTAAAAATTTCATCCATCCATCCATCTTTTTCATTGGGTTTAACTCAAGCTTTTAGAAAATTTGCAGATTTCATTATCAAATCTAATTGTAAGGGTTCAACATCAAAATCCATAGATGTCATGTCAAGCGTCTATGGTATGGTTGCTCCCAACTAATACTATCTAGACACCCGACATACAAACTAGGTTATTGTTGATCAAGATATAACGAAAATGTTATATACCATGGCTAACAAGAAGTAGAAGATTTTGAGGTATAACTTTGGTTTCGTTTTTTTAATCTGTATATGTATAATTTAATTGAAGATTTTGAGGTATAGCTTTATTTTTATTTATTTTTATCTGTATATGTATAAATTAATTGATAATTTTGAGGTATAACTTTTTTTTTTTTTTTTAAAAAGAATCTATATATGTATAATTTAATTTGTATATGAGATAACAAATGAGTTGCAATTTAAATTATTTGGATATATTATATATTTAATAAGCAACATATGTATAAATAATCAGTTATACAATTTTTAAAATTATATGGTTATACAAGTCCAACATACACTTATTTATATTTTAAATTTCTTTATGAAAATATCCTAACTTTGTCGAGTCCTCCACATATACCGTTTATATGTCATTAAATTAGTCATTATTTTTTTAGATAGATAGTGATTTTTCAAAAAACAAATACTCCAAGTACTAACTTCTATTGTGCTTTTTAAAGAGGAACTCCTCAAACCTTTTTACTCAAATATGATAAATTAATTAAAAGAATATAATATTGACTCCAAATTATTTTAGCCCTTTTGGATTAGTAACATAGACAAATACAAAAACTTACATTTCAAATAAATAAATAATTTGGTTCATTCCCAAACATTGAAATTTAAAATCAAAAGTTTTGAAGTCATTGTTTAGTTTCTACTTTAGGAAAATTGCACCCAAAGAAAAACAATCTAAATTAGTGGACATATTCAGAGCCCATGTAAATCTTGACTTTCGGCCCAAGTTCTGAAATAGATTTTTGTATGAGGAAATTTCATAAATAGCTAACAAATAAGATTTAATAACGCTTTTAAGTACAATTTGCTAATTACGCTCCATATAAATTGAGTTTATACAAGTAACATATTATATACAATTATTAGTACTGTACACAAACTATTAATATAGATAAATAAGTAACTGTATATAAGTGTTAAAATTATACAATTGATTCGTATAAAGTATTTTGGGTATACGAAAAAGAATATAACCAAATTAAAAAATAATAATATAGAACCAAAAACTAGAAATGAAAGTTTGTATATA